GCAGCCATGCCACTCTGATCAGGCACATTGATAGGCCCAGAGACAGTGACTGACATAGAAACTGACCAATCAGAACCAAATCTGGGTGAAGTGAGAGGAGCCAATGGCTGCCTAGGAGGCAGAGCTTTTGACACTGACTCTCATAGAAACTGGCCAATCAGAACCTAGTCTGTGTTAACTGTGAAAGCAGAACCTAAGGTGGGGGCTGAGGAGGGAACAGCTGTTTGGTGTAAGGTGTAAGAAAGTGGTTCAAATTTTTAATGACCAGTTTGGCTATATTGTGCATATGGCTAGCTATCAATTCAGATATAGGGATTATGTATTTTTGTCTGCTAAGATCATCTCCTCCAGATGAAAAAGGCCTTTTCCCTGCCTTCCATTTAAGCAATCCTATCCTATATAATCTATCTATACTACTAAAAAGGTAATATGCTAATTACACCGGGTTAACCAGCCATTTTCCGTATATCCGACTTCCTTCCAGACAAAGCCATGGTGGTGGAGGCCAAGGCAGAGGCCATTAGGGGCAATCTGGCCAGTTGGGGGAGAGATCAGGCTGGCAGGGGAGGGCATTTGGGGGCAAGATCAGGCCAACAGGGGAGAACAGTTGTGGGGAGATCAGGCCAGCAGGAAAGGGCAGTTAGGGGCAATCAGGCAGGCAGAGGCAGTTAGGAGCAATCAGGCAGGCAGGCAGGTGAGCAATTAGGAGCCAGCAGTCCCAGATTGCAAGAGGGATGTCCCACTGCTGGTTTAGACCCGATACCACATCCCCCAAGGGGTCCCCAATTGGAGAGGGTGCAGGCTGGGCTGAGGGAATACTCCCACCGCCCTTTGCACAAATTTCTAGTGTGCACTGGGCCACTAGTTTTCTTATAAAAAGAGAAAGAGACTCCAGGTTCATAGGTCAATGCTCCAGGAATATGCATTAGCATAGAGGAAAGGCCATGTGAGAATATGGAGAGAAGATGGCCATCTGCACCAACTCAGTTAGCACTTTGATTATGGACTTCCAGCCTTCAGAACTATGGGAAAATAAATTTCTGTAGTTTAAGACATCCAGTCTGTGATATTTTATTATGGCAACTCTAGGATGCCAATACAAATTATAACTCCTATAAAATCTTTGTCTGCTAATTCTAATGTATTATTTATTATAGGGTTAGTCTCCATTGATTGTCTTTTCTCTGGAGAGTAGGACACATTTTCATAAGCCCAGTGTGTCTAGTGAGAGTGAATTGTGAACAATATGTTTCGGAGACTCTGAATCCTCTTATTCTCCTCCCATGTGCATGCAATGTTCAGGAGTGAACCAGAGATCTGGGCAAAATTTATACACAGAATTTGGAACATGCCATCTCTGTCTCTGTTCTTTCTAGATTTTCCCTCCTTCCTTTCCAGAAGCTCTACTTGTCACAAATTGTCCTCGGGTTCTTCAAACCAATAAAGCCATGAGTTTTCTACTGGAGTTTTAGCCACCTGGAGTGACAGTTACTGCAGCCTCCCCTCAGGCTAGAAACCGTGAAAAAATGTGAAACATCTAAAGCAGTTGCCTTCTTTCAAGTGTTAATGCCCCTCCAGTATTGCTTTTGGTTTTTCTCCAGGGCTTTTAGGTCATTGTTTTTTAATATTTGGTACAGAATTTGTAGTTGCAAGCCATAGACATTTTGATCCAATTGAAACTCCTTCCCATACCTCAATAGAAGTTACTGGAACAATCCAAGTGTTTCTACTTCTACTTCCTCCTCCTTGGTCTAAGCTACCATAGCAGCAACAAAACGAAGCAGGAACTTCCAAACCAGTTTTTCCTGGAACTCTTATCCCGATCCAGCTCATTCTCCACATGCTTAGAGTACTTCAGGGGGTTGACCTGAGATCCCCTGTTCTTGCTCTACACAACGCTTAGGATATTTCAGCCACTTCTGTTTTCAGTTGCCATCTCTTTGCTGATAACTCCTAAATGTGCACCACCAATCCAGAACAATTCCTAAAAATGAGCCGCCTGCTGGAATGTCCTTTTGCTTATGTCAAAGGACCTTTTTTTTTTTTTTTAAATATATTTTTATTGATTTTTTACAGAGAGGAAGAGAGAGGGATAGAGAGTTAGAAACATCGATGAGAGAGAATCATTATCAGCTGCCTCTTGCACACCCCCTACTGGGGATGTGCCCGCAACCAAGGTACATGCCTTTGACCAGAATCGAACCCAGGACCTTTCAGTCCGCAGGCCGATGCTCTATCCACTGAGCAAACCGGTTTCGGCTGTCAAAGGATATTTTGACTCATGTCCTACACTAATATTATCAGTTCTCTCACAATTCATTTTCTTACATCCCCTATCACAATGAATACCCTCACCAGTTACCCAGTTTCCCATATCAGAAATCTGGGAGTCATTCTTTTTCTTTTTTTTTTTTTTAAATAAGTTTTTATTGTTCATATTATTACAAATGTTCCTTCCCCCCCACCACCACCATTGCTCTCCTCCACCAGGTTCCCACCCCACCCTCTGCCCTTTCCCCACCCCCCATTGTCCTCATCCATAGGTGCACAGTTTATGTTCAGTCTCTTCTCACGCCCCCCTCTCCCCTTTTCCCCAAGAATCATCAGTTCACTCCCCTTCCATACCTCTGATTCTATTATTATATTCAACAGTTACTATTGTTCATCAGATTTTTTTTTAATTTCCTTGGTTTTTAGATTCACTTGTTGATAGTTACGTATTTGTTGTTCATAATTTTTATCTTTGTTTACTTTCTCTTCTAAAAGAACCCCCTTCAGCAATTCATATAATTCTGGTTTGGCGGTGATGAACTCCTTTAGCTTTTTTTTTATTAGTGAAGCTCTTTATCTGGCCTTCGATTCTGAGTGATAGCTTTGCTGGGTAGATTATTTTTGGCTGTAGGTTCTTACTATTCATCACCTTGAATATTTCTTGCCATTCCCATCTGGCCTGCATGGTTTCTGTTGAGAAGTCAGCTGACAATCGTATGGGTGCTCCTTTATAGATTACTACCTTCTTTGCTCTTGCTTCTTTTAATATTCTCTCTTTGTCTTTTGCTCTTGGAATTTTAATAATGATGTGTCTCGGTGTGATCCTTCTTGGATTCCTTTTGTTTGGAGTTCTGTGCGCTTCCTGGACTTGTAAGTCTAATTCTTTCACCAGGTGGGGGAAGTTTTCTGTCACTATTTCTTTCAGTATGTTTTCGATATCTTGCTCTCTCTCATCTTCTGGGACCCCAATAATTCTGATGTTGGTCCGCTTGAAGTTGTCCCAGAGGTTTCTTACATTATCTTCAATTTTCTGGATTCTCTTGCCTTCTAGCTTCTGTGGAGGAGTGTCTTCTGGCTCTTTATGTTCCAAATCTTTGACTTGATTCTTGTGATCTTCCCTTCTGTTTTTAGGACTCTGTCAAATATTTTTTATTTCAGACAATGTATTCTTTATTTCTTGTTGATCCCTTATCATTTCTCGATGACTCCTTATTAATTCTAGTTGATCTCTTTTCATATCCTCATAGGCCTTATCCATCTTTTCTAGGAAATTCTTGAAAAACATTATAAGCGTAGATTTGAACTCTATATCCAGACGCTTTTTGTCCTCCATTTCTTTCATTTGTGATCTATTTTGTTGTCGCATTTCGCAGTTACAGATGGGACGGGGTTTCAGGGTGGAGCCTGCAGCTTTGGCTTCCGTCAGCCCCACCCTAAGCGGGTCCTTCAGTGCTTGCTGCTGCCGGCGCCTCTGAGAGAAAGGTGCCCTTGATTTTCGCCTGCTACCAAACGGCTCTCTGCTTTCCCCCAATGAGCCCGGTATTGGGGTTCAGTTCAGTTGGAAGTGGAGTTGGAGGTGGCGTTCAGAGCAGTCTGGAGCCCAGGTCTCCTTCCCGTCAGGGCAATCCCGCGGCACAGCCGACCGTCCCTTCTCTGCGCGCCGTGTGCGCGCCTCCGGGACCTCCTTTCGCCTCTCCCCGGGGTTCCGCCTTACAGCCCGGCTCCCTATGGCTGAGCCTGGGTCCCCGGGGTCTGGCCTAGAACTGGGGATCAGAGCAGTCGGGGGCCCAGCACAGTCGGAGTTTTATCTCCTTTCCGCTAGGGAACGCCCGCCAGGCACTCGGCCTCCCTCCTCTCCGGCTCCGTCCTCTCCGCGCGCCGCGTCTCCGTACCTTGGCTTTTCCAGCTCCTCCGCACCTCCTTCTGGTTTTCTCCTTGCTTCTCGCTGTAGAATTTCCAGTCAGTCAACCTTCCTGTAGTTCTGGGCAATGTCCGTTTTATATTTTAGTTGTATTTTATTGAAATTGTTGTGTGCGGCTGCGGCTAGGTGTTCACCTGGGCGCAGCCATCTTGGATCTCTCTGGGAGTCATTCTTGATTCCCTCACTTCAACACTTCATCTCCAAAACATCTGGGTCTTTATTTTCTTAATCTTTCTCAAAACTGCCTATTTTTCAGGGGCGAAGGGGGAGGGGGGTCAATTGGGGAAAAAAGGAGATATAGGTAAGTCTTTAGACAATAAATTAAAAAAAAGAAAAAAACTACCCATTTTTCTCCATCTTCATTTCCACTGTTGCCACAGTCACTAGCCTGGGTTTTCAAGCAATAAACTGGCCTTCCTACTTCTGGTCTTGTCCCTTTAGTCTCTTCTACAGTAGTCACAATGACCTTTTGGGTGTTTTTAGGTCCCTGACTTTTCCATACATTTTTAATTTTATTTCATTTTTAAATATATATTTTTATGTATTTCAGAAAAGAAAGAGATAGAAACATCAATGATGAGAGAGAATCATTGATCAGCTGCCTCCTGCACTGGGACCGAGCTCACAACCTGGGCATGTGCCCTGACCAGGAATTGAATCGTGACCTCCTGGTTCATAGGTCAATGCTCAACAACTGAGCCACCAAGCCAGGCTTCATACATTTTTAAAATCAGCTTATGAGTTTTTTTCTAAAAGGCCTGATGGGCCCAGCTAGTGTGGCTCAGTGGTTGAGCATCAATCCTTGCACCAAGAGGTTGCCTGTTTGATCCCTGGTCAGGGCACATGCCTGGGTTGTGGGCTCAACCTGTAGGGTGTGCAGGAGGCAGCCATTTGGTGTTTACCCTCTCATTGCTGTTTCTACCTATCCCTACTTCTCTCTGTAAAAATCAATAAAATATCTAAAATAAAATTAAAAAAAGAAGCCTGATGGGATTTTGATTGGGATTGCATTGATCCATAGATCAATTTTGGAGAAATTTCTATGTAAATATTGAGTCTTACAATTCTTTTTTTTTTTTTAATATATTTTATTGATATTTTACAGAGAGGAAGAGAGAGGGATAGAGAGTTGGAAACATCGATGAGAGAGAATCATCGATCAGCTGCCTCTTGCACACCCCACACCGGGGACGTGCCCGCAACCAAGGTACATGCCCTTGACCGGAATCGAACCTGGGACCTTTTAGTCCGCAGGCCGATGCTCTACCACTGAGCCAAACCGGTTTCGGCAAGTCTTCCAATTCTTGACTATAGTATCTGTCTTAGTTTCTTCAGGTTGCTATAATAAATTACCACTGACTGAGTGGCTTACAAACAACACTAATTTATTTCTCAGTTCTGGAGACTGGAAGTTAAAGAGGAGGGTGCCAGCGTGGTCAGGCAAGGGCCTTTGCCAGGTCATATACTTCCACTGTATTCCTACCCAGAGGAAGGGTGCCCTCGACTCCCCCCTCCTTCTAATGCCATTATATCGAGCATTAGGATTTCAACATATGACTTTGAGACAGACACATCCAGGCCACACACAGTAACCCTCTCCATTTATTTGGTCTTTCATTTTTCAGAAATATCTTGCCATTTAGAGGGTACAGGTCTTGTTCATCTTTTGTTAAATTTATCACTATTTCAAATTTTATGCTACTTTAGATGTTATTGTTCATGAATGTAAGTTTCCAACTTTTTGTTACTAGTGTATAGAAATACTCACATATTAGTTTTAGAATATATGTGTTTAGATTCCTTAGGATTTTATACAGAGGCAATTATGTCACCTGTGAATAAAGATACTTTTACTTTAGCCCTGGCCAGGGAGCTCAGTTGGTTAGAGCATCATCCTGAAATGCCAAGGTTGTGGGTTTGATCCCTGGTCAGGGCACTACAAGAAGCAACCAATGGTCCTAACCGGTTTGGCTCAATGGATAGAGTGTCGGCCTGTGGACTGAAGGATCCCAGGTTTGATTCCGGTCAAGGGCATGTACCTTGGTTGTGGGCATATCCCCAGTAAGGGGCGTGCAGGAGGCAGCTGATAGATGTTTCTCATGGATGTTTCTGATTCTTTATCCCTCTCCCTTCTTCTCTGTAAAAAATAAATAAAATATATATTTTTTAAAAAAGAAGAAGCAACCAATGAATAATAAATAAGTGGAGCAACAAATGAATGCCTCTCTCTCTCTCTTTCACTCTCTTTTTCTCTTCCTTCTCCTCTCTCTAAAACTCAACAACAAAAAAGATACTTTTACATCTCCCTTTACTGTCTGCATCTGTTTTATTTCCTGTCCATATTTTGTTGCACTGGCTAGGCCCACCATTACAATCCTATCTAATAAGAGAGTAATATGCAAATTGACTATCACTCCAACACACAAGATGGCTGCCCCCATGTGGACACAAGATGGCCGCCACAAGATGGCCAGCAGGGGAGGGCAATTGGGAGGGACCAGACCTGCAGAGAAGGGCAGTTGGGGGTGACCGAGCCTGCAGGGAAGGGCAATTAGGGGGAACCCAGGCCTTTATTTTATTTATTTATTTATTTATTTATCATAAACATATTTTATTGATTTTTTACAGAGAGGATGGGAGAGGGATAGAGAACTAGAAACATCGATGAGAGAAGAACATCAACCAGCTGCCTCCTGCACACCCCCTACTGGGGATGTGCCCACAACCAATGTACATGCCCTTGACTGGAATCGAACCTGGGACCTCTCAGTCCACAGACCGACGTTCTATCCACTGAGCCAACCAGTTTGGGCGGAATCCAGGCCTTTAGGGGAGAGCAATTGGGGGGGACCAGGCCTGCAGGGGAGGGCAGTTAGGGATGACCAGGCCTATAGGGGAGGGCAATTAGGGGCAAATAGGCTGGCAGGGGAGCAGTTAGGTATCAATCAGGCTGGCAGGGCAATGGTTAGGGGTGATCAGGTTGGCAGGCAGAAGAGGTTAGGGGCAATCAGGAAGGCAGGCAAGTGAGTAATTGGGAGAGGGATTGTGAGAAGGATGTGAGAGGGATATACAACTGCCCATTTAGTTCTGATCCTACTAGGATTAGGCCTAAACGGCCAGTCGGGACATCCCTTGAGGGGTCCTAGATTGGAGAGGGTACAGGCTGGGCTGAGGGACACCATCACCACCCCCCCCCCCACCATGCACGAATTTCATGCACTGGGCCTCTAGTGTTAAATAAGAAATGTGAAATTGGAAATCTTTGCCTTGTTTCTAATCTTAGGGAAAATAATTGTCTTTCTCTACTAAATGTGATCTTAGCTGTAGGTTTTATGTAGATGTGTCTTATCAGGATTAAGAAGTTCCTTTCTTTTTCTATTCTATTTCTGAGGGTTTTGTATGTGTGTTCTTAATCATGAATAGGTTTTGCATTTTGTCAAATTTGGAGGGTTTTCACCCAAAGAGATAATTATAGATTTTTGTGTTCTGTGTGTGTGTGTGTGTGTGTGTGTGTGTGTGAATATATATATATATATATATATATATATATATATATATATATATAATGTTTTTATTGATTTATATATAATGTTTTTATTGATTTCAGAGAGAGAAAGGAGTAGTAGAGAGAGAAATATCAGTGCTGAGAAAGAATCATCTATCAGCTAGCTGCCAGCTGCATGCCCCTCACTGGGGATCAAGCCTACAACTCCAGCATGTTATCTGAATAGTATCATACTGTGACTTATTGGTTCATGGGTCAACACTCAACCACTGAGACACACTGGCTGAGTTATTGGGGAATGGGGGTGGGTTTGTTTTGTTTTTTAGTTAGTGTATTAGTATGTCCTAAGGTTACCATAACAAATTACCACAAACTGGGTGACTTTAGAAACAATAGACATTTATTTTCTTGTAATTCTATAGGCTAGAAGTCTGAAATCAAGATGTCATGGTAGGCCCTAGCTGATTTGGCTCAGTGGATAGAGCATCAGCCTGCAGACTGCAGGGTCCCAGGTTTGATTCCAAGCAAGGTTGTGGACTTGGTCCCTGGTAGCGGTGTGCAGGGGACAGCTAATCAACGATTCTCTCTCATCATTGATGTTTCTATTTCTCTTTCCCTTCCTCTCTGAAATCAATAAAAATTTATTTTTTAAAAAGATAATGTGATTGTGTCAAGAAATTTCATCTAAGTTTTTGGATTTGTTGGCATAACGTTATTTATAATACTAGAGGCCTGGTGCACAACACATCCCTCAACCTGGCCTGCACCCTCTTGCAGTCGGGACCCCTTGGGGGATGTCCCTCTGCCAAGCAGGCCTAAGCCAGCAGGCGGACATCCCTAGGGGGTCCATAGTACTGCCGTGGAGGTGGGAGAGGCTCCCACCACTCCCACTGCACTCACCAGCCATGAGCCCAGCTTCTGGCTGAGCAGCAAGCCCCCTGTGGGAGCACACTGAGGGCAGCTCTTGCATTGAGCATCTGCCCCCTGGTGGTCAGTGTGGGTCATAGTGACCAGTTGTTCTGCCATTTTATTGATTTGCATATTAGGGTTTTAATATATATGATTTCCTTATTACCCCTCCCACCAAAATAGGTATGCTTTCTCCTCTTTAATTCCTGACATTGGAAATTTTTCTCTCTTTTTTCTAAAAATGAATTAATTTTATAGATATTTTTAAAGAATATCAGCTATTGATTTCATTGATTTTCTCTGTTGACTTTCTGTTTTCTTTCACTGATTTCCACTCTTGTCTTTTTGTTTCCTTCTATCTTTATTTTATTTTCCTTTTCTGTTTATTTTGGTGTTAATTTGCTCTTTTGTTTCTAACTACTAAGCATGGAATTTTAGATAATTAATTTGAGAAGTTTTTCTCTTCTTTTAAATACAAGTACTTGAATACTAAAAATATCCTGAGCACTGGTTTAGGTACATGTCATACAGTTTTATTTTCACTTAGTACAAAATAATTTCTAATATCCCTTTTGTTTCTTCTTTGAACAATTGGTTGTACAAGTATTTGATTATTCTCCAGATAGCTTTCTTTTTTTAATTTTCAGCTTTCATTATGGTCAGGAGACATATTTTATTATTTAAATCCTCTGATATTTAGTCAAACTAGTTTTGTGACCCAGAATATGACCTATCTTGGTGGGTGTTTTAAAACAATGTGTATTCTATAGTTGTTAGGTGTAAGGCTCTATAAATGCCTTATTTAGTCAAATTGATTGACCATGCTATTCAAGTCTATATCCATATTAAATATCTGTCCACTTGTTCTATCAGTGACTGAGAAAAGAATGTTTAAATCTCCAAGTCTACCTGTGGAGTTTTCTTTTTTCCTTTCCATTCTGTTTGCTTTTGCTTCATGTTTTAAAGCTCTGCTATTAGGGATATATACTTTTAATTTTATTATGTACTTTTAATTGACCTCTTTAATATAAGTATAAAATGTTTCTCTTTATCGCTTTTAATATTCCTGCTTCTGAAACCTACTTTGAGTCATATAAATATAGTTACTCTAGCTTCCTTTTGATTAGTGTTTGCATGATCTTTGTCTTTTATTTTTAATTATCTGTGTTTTATAACTAATATGTACCATAATATCCGGTGTATAAGACGACCCCCTAATTTTACAGTTAAAACATAGGTTTAGGCCTATATTTGCTGTATAAAACTACCCCCCACTTCAAAGAAAAGACTTACTTTGCCATCAAGATCTGCAAGTAATTTTTGTGCAATTTTGGTCTTTTGCCCCTTATTTTCAGTTGACTTTTTTTCATTTCAAATGAGGTCTTATATGCCAGAAAATACGGTAATTAGAAATAAACCCTTGCTGGTGTGGCTCAGTTGGTTGGGCATTGTCCTGTGGACTGAAAGGTTGTTGGTTCAACTCCTAGTCAGGTTACATGCTTGGATTGCAGGCTTGATCCCTGGTAGGGGGCATGCAGCAGGCAGCTGATTGATGTTTCACTCTCACAGATGTTTCTCTTTCTCCCTCTTCCTTCCTCTCTCTCTAAAAAGCAATAAAAATGTAAATAAAATAAATTATAAATTAAAATTTCTTATAAAAAGTGCATAATTTTAGCATGCTTTTTCACCAACATGTCAATTTCTTCCTTTTAATTGGGGTGTTCAAGTTATTTACATTTGGTATAGCTATTAATATGGAGCAGGAATTGATGAAATAGGAACCAAAAAACCAGTAAAGTGGATCAAAGAAACAAATGTTAATTTTATATTTAAAAAATAGACAAAACTCTGGCAAGACTAATAGACACAAAAAGATAGAGATGAAAAAACCAAGATGGCAGCATAGGTAAACGCCTAACTGCAGCCAAACAGAACAATTTCAAAAAAAAAAATACAACTAAAATACAAAATGGACATTATCCAGAACTACAGGAAAGTTGACTGACTAGAAATTCTACAACTAGAAGGAAAGAGAAAACCAGAAGGAAAATCAGAGGAGCTGTAAAAGACAGTGCGTGCGGGGAGAGGATGGAGCCGGAGAGGAGGGGGAGGCTGAGTGCCTGGCTGGTATTCTCTAGCGGGAAGGAGATAAAAGCTCTGGACTGTGCTGAACCCCAGACCTGACAGCGCTGAAGCCCAGTTCTAGGCCAGACCCTGGGGACCAAAGCTCATATGAAGTAGACTGGGCTGTAAGGCGGAAACTCAGGGGAATGGCAAAGGGAAGTCCAGGAGGTGTGCACGTTGCGCGCAGAGGACGGATTGTTGACTGTGCCACTGGATTGCCCTAGCGGGAAGGAGACAAAAGCTCCAGACTACTCTGAACCCCACTTCCAACCCCACTTCCAACTGCACTGAACCCCAGTTCCGGGCTCATTGGGGGAGACCCTAGACTGTTTGGTAGTGGGCGAAACTTGAGGGCACCTTTCTCTCAGAGGTGCTTGCAGTGAGTACCGAAGGACACTGAGGAACACTGAGACTCAGGAACCTCATAGGGTGGGACTGACAGGAATCCAAGGCTGTAGGCTCCACCCTGAAACTCCGCCCCATCCAAGCTGAGCACAGAGGCTATTGCAATTTTCCAAGTCTAATCGAATAAGGCTGTCTCCTGGCATAGACACAGCTGATTCTCACAGCCACTTGGCCTGGAGGTCAGTTCCTCCCAGTGATACCAACAACAATTAAGACTTACCTATAACAAGGCTGTACGCACAGTCCACAAAAGAGGGCACCAAGAGTGTCCACCTCAGGTAACTGGGAGGCTGACCCACTGAACCACATAGGACACCTTAGCACACAAAGCCACCCTATCAACTCAGGGAAGCAGCAAAAATGCCGAGACAAGGAAACAGATCACAAAGGAAAGAAATGGAGGACAAAAAGTGATTGGATATAGAGTTCAAAACCACGGTTATAAAGTTTTTCAAGAATTTCCTAGAAAAGGCCAATAAAATAAACGAGACCTATGAAGATATGAAAAGGGATCGACTAGAAATAAAAAATACATTGTCTAAAATAAAAAAAAATATTATACAGAGTTCTAAAAACAGAATGGAAGATCGCAAGAATCAAGTCAAAGATTTGGAACACAAAGAGTCAGAGGACACTTCTCCACAGAAGCAAGAAGACAAGAGAATCCAGAAAGTTGAATATAATGTAAGAAGCCTCTGGGACAACTTCAAGTGAACCAACATCAGAATTATGGGGGTCCCAGAAGAAGAGAGAGAGCAAGATACCGAAAATATACTAGAAGAAATAGTGACAGAAAACTTCCCCTATCTGGGGAAAGAAATAGACCTACAAGTCCAGGAAGCACATAGAACCCCAAACAAAAGGAATCCAAAGAGGATCACCCCAAGACACATCATAATTAAAATTCCAAGAGCAAAAGACAAAGAGAGAATATTAAAAGCAGCAAGAGAAAAGCAGGTAGTGACCTATAAAGGAGCACCCATACGATTGTCAGCTGATTTCTCAACAGAAACCATGCAGGCCAGATGGGAATGGCAAGAAATATTCAAGGTGATGAATAGCAAGAACCTACAGCCAAAAATACTCTACCCCCTATTTTCATAGCAGCACAATTCACCATAGCTAAGATTTGGAAATAGCCTAGGTGCCCATCAGTAGATGATTAGATAAAACAAAAAAAAAAAAAAAAAAAAAAAACAAAAACAACAAAAAAAACTATGGTACATCTACACAATGGAATACTATGCTGCCATAAAAAAGAAGGAATTCTTAGCATTTACAGCAACCTGGATGGAATTGGAGAACATGATAACTCTCAGTAAATGAAGATGAGAAGGGTCACTTCCTTAAATCCGTGGTCGGCCAACTGCGGCTTGAGAGCCACATGCGGCTCTTTGGCTCCTTGAGTGTGGCTCTTCCACAAAATACCACGGCCTGGGCAATTCTATTTTGAAGAAGTAGTGTTAGAAGTTTAAGTTTAAAAAATTTGGCTCTCAAAAGAAATTTTAATCATTGTACTGTTGATATCTGGCTCTGTTGACTAATGAGTTTGCCAACCACTGCCTTAAACCATCTCCACTGTTAGCCCTAGTGCAAGCCACTACCACCTGGCTTAATGTGCTATCTCATCCCTGGAGCTCTTGCTTCCAGCTTTGCCTACCTCTACCCCATCTCTGCCCCAAATACTGTCAATGAAGCATGCAAAGGTATCCTTTATTTTTAAACATCTTTGTTGAGATATAATCCCCTTATAATACAATTCACCCATTTAACTCATACAATTCAATGTCCTTTAGGCTATTCACAAAGCTGAGCATCTATTGTCAAAATCAATTTTATTTTTTTTAGTTTATTTATTGATTAAGGTATAACATATATCCCTTTTTCTCCCATTACCCCCCAGAGGCGCCCCCCCCCACACACACACACTCATGTCCTCACCCCCTGTTGTCTGTGTCCATTGGTTAGGCTTAAATGCATGCATACGAGTTCTTTGGTTGATCTCTCACCCTCCTCTACCTTCCCTCTGAGGTTTGACGGTGTGAAAGATGCTTCTCTGTCTCTGGATCTGTTTTTGTTCATCAGTTTATGTTGTTCATTATATTCCATAAATGAGTGAGATCTTGTGATATTTATTTGTCTCTGACTGGCTTATTTCGCTTAGCATAATGCTCTCCAGTTCCATCCATGCTGTTGCAAATGCTAAGAATT